TTTTTTTTTTTTTTTTTTTTTTTTTTTTTTGTGAGATGATAACAACTAAATATTCCAGATGCTCTCTAACATTTTTATTCCCTTCTTAATTTAGTACACAATACTTTTTTGACTTTATTTCATAATCTTTTTTTATTTTTTATTTTTTATTTTTTAAAAGTCGTGTTTGGTGGCCATGGCCCTACCCCAAAAGAAATTCCATGGATTGTACAAATAATTTAATGCACAGAGTGGGAGTTTGTGTGATATAAAAATTGTGCAACTTTATTTCCATAAAAAGAAGGAACCCAGAAGTTTGAGGAAAAGGCAAGACATGGATGCAAATATAACCATTATGTTATAATATACCAACCAAATAATTCTCTTCCTATTAAACCCAAGTCCACGAATTAAGATAAAGATCGTAAATTTATAAGTAATAGACACGGTTCTCATTCTTATGAAATTTATTAGAAAACTAAAAAATAAAGCTACCGACAATATCATATCCCCATTTGGTTCATAGTTTTTAACCCATAAATAAATATATATATATATATATATATAAAAAAGAAAGTGAAAGAGGCACATCATGTGCGATGAGAAATAAAAATAAAAAGCTTGAAGAAGAAGGTGGAGAAGAGTGGGAGAATCAGAGAATACGAGTCACAGGTTGAGTGTTAATGAAGTTTGGAATTTTCAACGACACTCTTCAAACAGAATCTACAAACCACACATGTTTTCTTTTTTTTTCTTTTTTAAAAAGCTATACATTTTTTAATTTTATTTACTATTATTATTATTTGTGTTGTTTTAAATTTAAAATAATTTAGTCTCCATGCTTTTAATTTATAAAAAATCTCAAAGCAGCAATAATATATGTTATTAGTTTTAAGGTTTCAAATAAAAATTAAAAAAGGAAAGGAATAAATATTGTTCAAGTAAACACTAAAGAACTGTTGAAGATAATCTTAAGTTGTTCTCAAGTGTCGTTGAAAATAGTTTTAAGACGTGACGGTGATAAAGTTGGATTTATTTTAAAAAAAAACAAAAACAAAAAAGGTTTGAATGTTGAAGGGAAGCGACAGGTTACAGTGATTTGATTCCAGAAAGGAACATTTTATCTCTGTACATTTTTATTTGTTTATTTACATAAATTAATAAAAATGGATCCATGGAGCGGAACTTGATTCGGCTTTGTAAAGTGATTCCAGCACTTGTCCCACATCGGCGGAATCCAAGGATTAAGCGAAGCCAGTAGCCTATAAAACTACACATGATTTCAAAACGCCCTTAACTGGGAAAAGCCCAATGGGCGGCTTCGATTGGGCCTCTCGAGCGTCATTGCTCAAAGCTAAGTCAGAAGTTCGATTTTGTTCAATTGTATAACATGTATTATTGCTGCTCAATTTGTTATTTTTAAGTTAAATCTAATTGAAATACAAATTAAACATAGTCATTGTGCATAAGAGATACTCGTAGATTACGAACTTTTGTTATTTTTATTGAAATGATTTAGACGAGGCTGGGCGATAGTGCTACCCAATCAGAAGCTGTTAGGTTTTGCTGCTTTGCTCAATCTTCCTTTTCATCTTCTCCATGTATGGCTTCTCTTCCTTTTGTCACTCCCACTTATCCGCTTGCTACTCTCTACAGTACCAGAAAACTCCAGAACTCGCCCACCCATGCTGCGAAGTTAAATGAGAGTGCTGGGAACTTTCAAATCTCGTATAAATCTTACCTCAACCGGATATCTTCTCTATGCAAAGAAGGCGACCTTCGAGCAGCTGTGGACCTAGTTTCTAATTTTGAATTGCAGGGTATCACAATTGGACCTGACGTATATGGAGAACTTCTTCAGGGCTGCGTTTACGAGAGAGCTCTTTCGTTGGGTCAGCAAATCCACGGTCGAATTCTCAAGAATGGTGAGTTCATTGCAAAGAATGAGTACATCGAAACCAAATTGGTGATTTTCTATTCAAAATGCGACGAGTCAGAGATCGCCAACCGTTTGTTTCGCAAGCTGCGGGTACAGAACGAGTTTTCTTGGGCTGCTATTATGGGATTAAAATGTAGAATCGGCTTTAACGAAGAAGCTTTATTGTGTTGTTGTGAGATGCACGAAAATGGGCTATTCCTGGACAATTTTGTTATTCCAATTGCTTTGAAGGCTGCTGGCTCTCTGCAGTGGATTGGGTTTGGCAAAGCAATCCATGGCTACGCAGTCAAGATGGATCTGGGTGGGTGTATCTTTGTTGCTAGTAGTCTTCTGGATATGTACGGTAAATGTGGGGTATGTGGAGATGCAAAGAAGGTGTTTGATAAAATTCCTGAGAAGAATATAGTAGCTTGGAATTCGATGATTGTTAATTTTACCCATAATGGACTGTATGAGGAAGCAGTTGAAACGTTTTATGACATGAGGGTGGAAGGTGTTGAACCTACTCAAGTAACTCTATCAAGTTTTCTTTCAGCTTCAGCTAATTTAAGTCTGATCAATGAGGGTAAACAAGGTCACGCCCTAGCAGTGTTATCTGGACTGGAACTAACCAACATATTGGGTAGTTCGCTTATAAATTTTTATTCCAAGATTGGTTTGGTTGAGGACGCTGAACTGGTTTTCAGTGAAATGTTGGAGAAAGATGTAGTGACATGGAATTTGCTGGTCTCTGGTTATGTGCATAATGGGCTGGTTGATCGGGCACTTGGTTTATGTCGTGTAATGCAATCGGAAAATTTGAGGTTTGATTCTGTGACTCTTGCTTCAATAATGGCTGCTGCTGCTGACTCGAGAAATTTGAAACTAGGGAAGGAAGGACATTCTTTTTGTGTTAGGAACAACCTTGAATCTGATGTTGCTGTTGCAAGTAGCATAGTAGATACGTATGCCAAATGTGGGAAATTGGAATGTGCAAGACGAGTTTTTGACTTAGCTATAAAGAGAGATCTTATAATGTGGAATACTCTGTTGGCTGCCTATGCAGAGCAGGGTTGGAGTGGTGAAACATTAAAATTGTTTTATCAGATGCAGTTAGAAGGTCTGCCACCAAATTTGATATCCTGGAACTCTGTGATTTTGGGTCTCTTGAATAAAGGTGAAGTTAGTAAGGCTAAAGACATGTTCTTGGAGATGCAGTCTCTTGGTGTCTGTCCTAATTTAGTTACTTGGACCACTCTCATATCTGGACTCGCTCAGAATGGTCTTGGTGATGAAGCATTCCTTACATTCCAATTAATGCAAGAAGCTGGCATTAAACCCAACAGTTTGAGTATTAGCCCGCTACTTTCAGCTTGCACAGCTATGGCCTCTCTGCGACATGGAAGAGCAATTCATGGTTACATCACAAGACGTGAACTTTCACTATCAACACCGGTCTTATGCTCCTTGGTGAACATGTATGCCAAATGTGGTAGTATAAATCAAGCGAAGAGGATTTTTGATATGATACTGAAAAAGGAGTTGCCCATCTATAATGCAATGATCTCTGGCTATGCACTACATGGTCAAGCAGTGGAAGCTCTTTCACTCTTTAGACGTCTAAAAGAGGAATGTATAAAACCTGATGAAATAACCTTTACTAGTATTATTTCTGCATGCAGTCATGCTGGACTTGTGACAGAAGGTTTAGAGCTTTTCATTGATATGGTTTCTAATCACAAAATAGTAGCACAAGCAGAGCATTATGGGTGTCTTGTTAGTATTCTGTCTAGGTGTCATAACTTGGACGAAGCTTTAAGACTTGTTCTAGCGATGCCTTTTGAGCCTGATGCATTTATATTTGGATCTTTACTTGCTGCATGCAGAGAGCATCCCGACATTGAACTTAAAGAACGCTTGTTCGAACGCTTGTTGAAATTGGAGCCAGATAATTCAGGAAATTATGTGGCACTGTCAAATGCATATGCTGCTACTGGAATGTGGGACGAAGCATCAAAGGTGAGAGATCTGATGAAAGAAAGGGGTCTAAGGAAGACTCCTGGGCATAGCTTGATTCAGATTGGAAACGAAACACATGTATTTTTCGCTGGAGATAAGTCACACTCCAAGACAAAGGAAATTTACAAGATGTTGGCCCTCCTTAGAATAGAAATGCAAGTCACTAGATGTATACATGTGACTAGTTAAGCTGGTATCTTACATTTCCATTCTTGAGAATGAGGATGTCATATTTGTACAGGTTGATGCATGTGCTTTTTAATTAGCACAGAGGAAACAGTGATTGCTTAAATGATTAGTGGCCTTCTCTGACTATGTTGAGGTCACACGGACTTGAAGACAGCTGCAAAATATAATTTACCCTGGCTTAAAAAAGAATACTCTGGGTTTTGGAATGTTATTCCTTTTGGACGGCTCGAAATGCTACCTAGTTGAGGAATCTACTATTACGATAAGAGTATTGCACTGCACAAGCGCCTGTTATGAGAGATTTGAGACCTTCGGGTTTGTTTTTAGCTATGACAAGAATCTAGGAACAAGTAGATTAACCAATTGCACATCTGAGTTCATCTTGGACTAAATTTGAGCTGATTAGCAACTATGGAATTTATAAACATCATGATGCAGTGCTCGAGAAATCCATTTATCATTTTCTATATTGAATTGCATTGCTGAGAACCAGTGGTGCCAAGTTGTGCAGGATTGTGTATGCAAGCTGTACGAGTTGCTTTCACGTCAAACTCAGGTTTTTGGTCTTTAGTAAAGTCCGTGGATGATTTGATTCTCTTACTGTATATCATTCAGTTACCATTACCAATTGGCCTGTCTATTAGAAGCACACCAACTTTGCTTGCTCTCTACAATGAATATACCCAACCATATGAGTTGGAATGTTCTTAACTTATTTTCTGCGCAACTTCTATATGGTGTGAGAATATTCTCGTCAAGATTTGCACATCAAATTCTTCAAATAGAACAGTTAACTCTGGCCTAAAATGCTTTCATGTTTTTTTTTTTGTTTAGTTAATGAAGATTGCTAACTTTCATTCACCATGCACTGTATTTGGATGTTTTTCTCTTCTTACAAAGCAGCCAAGATATTACACCCTACAGGACTTGGTTGTATGGTTTTTGAGAATTGGAGACATGCAAGCAAATTTCAGTTCCCGAATTGTCACCACACCGGCAGATTACAGGAACTGGCACTATGAAAAGATCTCAGCACAAAACATCAGTATTGTTGCTGTTGTCAGGTTAGTACCTGTGAACATCTGTTTTCTGGTTCTCATTTTCATGTTCCTTGTTCAACTATTCCAGGTCAGGTTACTACACTCAGGTTTTAAGATCAGCCAAGTTTTGATATCAGTAATCTAATCATTTAGTGCCGGACCACATATACAACATTTCCAAATTGATTATTCTTTATCCCTCTCTCTCCCTCCTCCTTTTCTGTACACAGAGATTTACAAATCTTCATCATCAACATAAACACATAGATGCTCCTTAGCTTTGTTGTAGTCTTTATAATTTTAGTTGAATTTCTAACTTCCAATTGAAGGCATGCACTCATCCTAGTCTTTTAGTGAAGCATCCTATGCTGTAACGAGTAACAACCAAATAAAATCTTACCCTTTTGTCTTGGTGATTCGTGCTATCCAAGGAAAGTGAAATGATGAAGAAACAACGCCTTTTCACATATTGTTCAGTGGGCATCAACGAGCTATTATTATCCACACCTTATTTTGTTCGACAGCAGAGACTGGGAGACCGTGCTACTTTAGAGAAAGACGTTCCTTACTCGTCGGTATGTCTCTCTCTCTCTCTCTCTCTCTCTCTCTCATACATTCTAATTCACATTGCTTTCATCGAAGTAGTAACTCTGTGGGATTCTTTCATCTTTGCTACATCCACATGGGCATTGATTTGATTGCATAAAGTTAAAGTGAGTGTCATTAATGTATGCATAACCTTTGTTTAAACACAATTAAGAGTCAAGATATGCTCTAAACTCTCTTAAACCGGGTGGAAGTTGAATAGCCTTTTTAACTATTTTCTGTAAATTTTTAATCATTGTCAATTCAAATTGTTAGGATTGGAAATCATATGGTGGCTGTGACTGTTCGTAAAGAGGATTGTATCAAATTCAGTCAAATGATTTGTTCATGAATTAATTAGCTGAAAAGAGAAAAGTCGAAGTCGAATACCGAAAAAAAGGGTGTTTTAAGAAACATCATTAAGGGTTTGCATGGATTCCATTAAAAATAAGGTGCAATCAAATCTTCACCAACTAGTTGTTGGTTGCTCTTCTTCCCCTTTATTTCATTAGCTTCTAATATTATCGCCTTTTTATAATTCTTAGGTCTTCCCTTTTTCCTCTTTTATCTTTGGTGGCTCTACTCATTGAAATTATTGCTAATGGGTATGGCGCATGGCCCAAATCTTTGTACTGTTTGGGAATAATTAAATGAACCCTAAAAGGTTAAAGTATCATTTGGGGTATGTATTTTCTTTTTTTAAGTGATTCCATTTTAGCTCATATAATTTAAAATTTCATACCGACTCCCATTTATTGCTTGGCATATTATGTTTGTATTTTTGGAAATTATGAGATCATGGTGTGAAAACATCATACATATATAGTATGTAAAGTAGAAAAGGTATTTGATTTTATAGTGAAAGTATGAAGTCAAATCGGCGTCTGACCACAATTCTCTCGAACCCTAAACCCTCCTCACACTTTTGGGTGCCATCTCTCATTGCTTCGCCTTGCAATTCATCCACACAACAACCCCACATGTGTGCTTCTGATTGGTTGAATGTACACCACGCACGCTCCCTCTTTCAAGATATTTCTTTGCACACGTGTGGCGTCTATTTCACGAAAAGCAATTTGAATTTTGCATCACCAAATGGAGATAAGAATTACAAGAATGCTTCAATTTTGTACTTGGCAATGATTCTTGAAGAGTATAGAGATTTTCAAATCTAGTGCGGTTGAATTATTTTTCTTATTTCACCTGTGATCTTTTGACTTTATTTCCTTTTAAAAATTTTATATTCCTTGTGTTTTATCCTATATATCCAAAACAAGCTAAACTTTGGACATTCACTGTAATATAAGCACGGGACCCAAGATTATTATACCCCTAATTATTTAAGATTATTTGGTGCAATTAAAAGGTATGCGAGGGCTTAAAGGATTGTGAAATTAATTATTTAAGATTATTTGGTGCAATCAAAAGGTATGCGAGGGCTTAAAGGACAGAGAAAAATTTCACAATCCATGATTCTATAAAAATGATGCGAAATAGAATTTAGAAAAAAAGAAAAAGAGAGAATCAAATCATAATATGGCCAATTTGAATGTGACCATGGAAGCTTTCCAATCCACTCACCCAATAAACAATTCAAATCCTCCTCCCAGCTGTAAAAAAAAATACTGCCCAAAAAAATATTAGAATAAACTAACACGAAATTCCCAAACTATCCCAGAACGGAAACTCATCACCGCCGCCGACGATGATGGATACCCTTCGGCCGCGCACTCTAACCGCTTATTTACCAACTGTGCACTAATCTAGGGCTTTCACGACAGGAAACAATTTCTACACTGCTCCGCTGATTCCGGGAGGGGTGGCTCTGGACTCCTGCGGCGGCGTGTGCCCTTCCGATCCTTTTGACGGGTCATCGGATGATGGTCGTAAGCCGTCGTCGGTCTCTACACGGTTCAAGTCCTCGATCATTCGAACCACTTCCTGCATTGACGGCCGCTGGTCCGGCACTGTGGCGACACAAGCCATCGCAATTTGTAATAACTGAACCATTTCCTCTTCGATATTGTGGTACCTCATCAATTCCACATCAAAAACCTCCGCTGTCCATTCCTCTCGGACTACTGATTGGACCCACCGGGGAAGATCAATCCCTTCTTCGCCCAACGACGCCTGAATTGGGGATTTTCCGGTCAAAAGCTCCAACAGCAAGACGCCAAAACTGTACACGTCGGACTTGAAGGTGACCTTTCGAGTTTCGACAACCTCCGGCGCGCGGTAGCCGGCAATACGGTTCGGCGGCGTAGTGGCGCCGAAGAGAGGGTTGAGGCCGTAGTCGGAAACGGCGGCGTCGTAGTTGGGGTGGAGGAGGATGTTCGACGATTTGACGTTGCCGTGGACGAGTTTTCCCGACACGTGTAAGTGAGCCAGTCCTCTCGCTGCGTGTAACGCGATTTTCATCCGGTTGTCCCAGTTAAGTGGCGTACGGCCGGATCCTCTGCTTCCTGTGAATCACCGGAAGTTCAGGACACCACAATGGCCAATAATTTAGACCCTCTTTTCCTTTTCTTTTTACTTTTCTAGGTACCATAGCCACCAGTGAGACAGAACCCAGAAAAAAAAAAGGCTTTTCTTAAAAGAAACGAAAGTAAATCAGATAATAAGGGAAGCCCAAGAGAAATTGCCTCTGTTTCTTATGGGTATTCATCGCTTTTACTTTTCGCCCACATGAAATTGAGGGGGGGAATCCCTTTTCTTAAAAGAATCAGAGATTTGTAAATGCTTTAATGTAGTTATGAACAATGGAATTTTCCAGAAAAATGACGAAGAAATAACTTGAAAATGGAATTTAATTCAGAGTTCAAAGATTGTTCATGTAAAAACTTAGAATTCGGTGAAAAGTTCTGGCCCCATTGATGATAAGATAAAGAACTTGGAAATGGAAATTAGAGATTATACCGTGAAGTGAAGCGGAAAGGCTGCCGGCGGCCATGTAATCGGAAACAAGTAATTTCTCGTCTCTGGAAAAGTAGAAAGCTCTGAGAGGAACCACATTTTCATGTTTTACATTTCCCAAAGCTTCTATTTGCGTTTCGAATTCCTGCTTCGTCATTACGACATCTTTCAATCTCTTGACGACGACGGTGGTTCCTTCTTCCAGCACCGCCTTGTACGACGTTCCGACACTTCCTTTTCCCAAAACCTCCGCTGAAGCCCTCAACAAATCCTCCAAATCGAAACTGTAAACCCCACCTTCGAAGAACACTAATTTGTTTTTCTCCGCTTCCACAGACCCGCCGGTGATGTCGTCTTTGGAAGACGATGTGCCGGCCTCCGCTGGCACAGATCGAGCAGTAACCACCGTACTCGATGGCTTCGCCGGCTGCCGACTCTGGCGCCTCCGGAGGCAAAAAATGAGTAAAAGCAGCAACAGAAACGCAACGAAAGCAGCGCCGACGACTATTCCGACAATGGCAGCGATGGAGAGCTTTTTTGACTTCAACTCGACGGGAATTTCTGGGGGTTTCACGGCGGACGTCGGCGACGGAGCAGGGGAGGGAAAAAACGGGTTGCATGACGGCAATGGACCACCGCAGAGCGCTAAATTCCCAGCGAAAGAGGCAGCAGAGAATTTCGAAAGGGTTTCGGGAATGGATCCATTAAGCTGGTTATTCGAGACATTGAAGCTCGTTAAATTACTCGCTGGAATACTCGGCAAAGAGCCCGTAAACCCATTATTCTCCAGAAAAAGCCCGCTCAAATGGGTCAAGTTATTGATCGAAAATGGAATCGAACCAGTGAAATTGTTGGACGAGAGATCCAGACGATTCAACCGAGTCAACTGAGTCACACTCGCCGGTAGTTCACCAGAAAGCTCGTTATCCTGAAGATAAAGACTCCGAAGAAATGTCAAATTCGAAAAATCCGCCGGCAACTCCCCAGAGATTTTATTAGACCGGAGACTCAGAACTCGAAGCCTATTCAAGCGGCCGAGTGTATTCGCCGGAATGGGGCCGACAAGTCCAACACCCGGCAACCGGAGAGCAAAAACAAACGACTGATTGACATCACAGCTAACTCCAACCCAAGTACAAGCAGAGGCCGATGCATTCCATTGAAGGCGATTCTCATGGGGGATTTGATTCAAGAAATCGAGAAGTGCTTCCTTGTCGGCGGACGGCTCCGATTGAACTGAATGAAGAAGAAGAAAAAGGTGAAGTAAAATTAAGAAAACAGGGATGCGGCTTCTAGAACGGAAAACTGCAGCCATTAGAAAACAGTGAGAGAGTAGACAAAGGAAGGATGATGAAGAAGAAAAAACAAGGATGGGGAGGTTGCTCTGTTTTGTCTTCTATACGAAACTGGTTTTGAGAGGCGGTTCGCGACGGTGAGGTGAGACAAAACCAGGATTCCGGCGATAACCCATTTAAGAAAAAGAAGGAAACGACGAAAAATCGGGTGAAATAGAGAGTGAGAGTGAGGAAGAGGAAGGTGAACGGAGCGGAGCTGTAAAGCTAACAAAAAGTGGAAAAGGTAGATGATAACCAGAAGCAGGCGCTGCAGGCTGAAGGAATTTTTCCTTTTATTACATCATCTTATTATTAATTAAAATATATATATTAAGCTTCAAATCTGTTTGAATATTCAACTCTCAACATGTTTTTGTTTCAAGAATGATTATCTTACATAAATATAGGGCAGAATAATAATTATCTTTTATTATTATGATTATTATCGTTGTGGTTAAACCATAATCCTTATCTTAACAATATTACCATTATTATGCCCTCCTTTAATTGGTTTTTAATTTTTCTTTAATTTATTATATTTAATAATATTGAGGCTAAACTATTTAAAATTTATAATATTGATAGTTTTTATAAAATCATTCGGTTGGATATTAAATTAAAAATTGATATGATATTGACGCTCTTTGAGGTATTAAAGATATTAATTGCAGTTAATTAATTAAAATATATAGTCACTTTAAATGCCATGGTATGAAAACAAATACATTAAATAGAATAGACATAGACCCATGAAATGAATTTAAATAAAAAAATACAATCATAGGTACATGAAAATGTCATGCAACAAATCTGAATCATAGGAATAATTAAAATAATATTACATCACAATGGGATGTATTAAAGTGGTTGTTTATTTAATTAGTAATATTAAGAATTAAAGACTTTTTTTTTTTTTTTTTTTTTTGCT